GGGGGGGGGGGGGGCGAGCGCCAGAGCCGAGGGCAAAATTTCTTTTTTGTCCAGTGTCCCGACCAAACATTGGTCGGGACACGGGACAAAGAAGCAAATATCGGGACAGTCCCGATAAAATCGGGACGTCTGGTCACCCTACATTCCCAGCTTCTGGCAAACAGAAGCTAGGGACACCATCCCTGCCCATCATGGCTAATAGCCATCGATGGACCTGTCCTCCATGAATTTATCCAGTTCTTTTTGAACCCTGTTATAGTTTTGGCCTTCACAACATCCTCTGGCAAAGAGTTCCACAGGTTGACTGTGCGTTGTGTGAAGAAACACTTCCCTTCATTTGTTTTAAACCTGCTGCCTATTCATTTCATTTGGGGACTCCTAATTCTTGTGTTTTGGGAAGGAGTAAATAACACTTCCTTATTTACTTTCTCCACACTAGTCAGAATTTTATAGACCTCTATCATATCCCCCCTTAGTCGTCTCCTTTCCAAGCTGAAAAGTCCCAGTCTTATTAATCTCTCCCCATATGGAAGCCGTTCCATACCCCTAATCATTTTTGTTGCCCTTTTCTGAACCTTTTCCAATTCCAATTTGAGATAGGGCCACCAAATCTGCACACAGTATTCAAGATGTGAGCGTACCATGGATTTATATAGAGGCAATATGATATTTTCTGTTTTATTATCTATCCCTTTCTTAATGATTCCAAGCATTCTGTTTCCTTTTTTGACGGCCGCTGCACATTGAGTGAGTGTTTTCAGAGAACTATCCACAATGACTCCCAGATCTCTTTCTTGAGTGGTCACAGGTAATTTAGACCCCATTATTTTATATGCTTGTTGATTCCTTCCAAAAATTCTAGTAGATTGGTGAGGCATGATTTCCCTTTACAAAAAGCATGTTGACTCTTCCCCAACAAATCATGTTCATCTATGCATCTGATCATTCCCTTCTTTACTATAGTTTCAACCAGTTTGCTGGGCATTGAAGTTAGTCTTAGTGGCCTCTAATTGCAGGGATCACCTCTGGAGCCTTTTTTAAAAAATTGGTGTCACATTAGCTATCATCCAGTCATCGGGCACAGAAGCTGATTTAAATGATAGGTTACATACCACAGTTAGTAGTTCTGCAATTACACATTTGAGTTCCTGCAGAAGTCTTCTCCAGATTACTTATGAGAATGTCATGTGGGACTGTGTCAAAAGCCTTGCTGAAGTCCAGGTATATTATGTCCACCGCTTTCCCCCAGCCCCCAACCAGTTACCTCATCAAAGAAAGAAATCAAGCTGGTTTGGCAGAATTTTCTCTTGGTAAATCCATGCTGGTGATCACCCCTTCGTCCTCACAAATTGAAGGTGTTATACATTGCTCTAGTAGCTTTCCAGGTGTCGAGGTCAGGCTGACTGGTCTATAGTTCCCCGGCTCCTCCTTTCCCCCCTTTTAAAGATGGCCACTCTGTTAGCCCTTCTCCCATCTTCTGGGACCTTTCCTGGCATCCATGAGTTTGCAAATATTATTGCCAGTGGCTCCAACTAATTCCTTCAGCCCCCTGGATTGAACAGCGTCCCGCCCCACTGATTTGAATTTATTCAAATTGGTCGGAAAATCTCTGACGTGTTCTTTACTTATCCCGATCTGCAGCCTTTCCCCTTTGTTGTCCGTGGTAACTTCACTGGTCGCTCGCTCACATGTTGGTTTTTTGTGGGAAGACTGAAGCAAAGCAGGCACTGAGCAGCGCTGCCTTCCCACCATTTTCTGTCACCAGCTCGGGATTATCTGGCTGATCTCATGATTTTTAGAGAAAATCTCAGGTTTTTTCACCAATTTAAGGATTTTTTTAGCCCATGATCTCTTGGGACCATCTGGTGATTTGCGGGGGGTCAGCGCACTGCCAACAGCTCCAGATCAGCCCCCTGCAGAGCCCAGCAGTACTGATTGTCCCCAAGTCAGATCTGTCCACCCCAAACAGCCACTGCTCTCACACTTCCCACCCCCCCTCTGTCTCTAGGTCTGTCCCAGCCCGACGCCCCAGCCATGGGCAGAGCCCTGCCGCCACAGCATGATGCCGGGGAACGGGAGCTCCAGGCTCAGGGTTCCCCCTGGAGAGCAGGGGGTCCTGCCCCCCCTGCAGCCACTCTGAGGGTCCTACTCCTCGCCCTGCTCTGGAGGGGTAAGTAAGCAGCACCTGCAGCCCCAGTGCAGGGGAAGGGCAGAACTCGCGCTGAGCGGGGCCAGGTCTGTCCCAGAACTTGGAAGGGAGACTGGCCAGAGGGGGAGGGGAGGGGAGCCCAGTGCCCCAGTGTGGTGCTAGGGGGCACTGAGCGACAGGGCGCTCGATGGAGGGAGGAATGGAAACTAAATGGAGTGAGAATTGGTCAAGGACCCAGGGCTGGGCTCGCATGGGGCTGTTGGTCGGGAGTGAGGGGCACCGGCAGAGCTGGGGGTGGAGCTCAGGGTTGGTCTCTGCTCTCTATCGGTTCCACTTCGATCCCTGTCTGTCCCCTGCAGGGTCCCTGTCCCAGCTGCCCGGATTTACCCTGGTGGTGCCGCATTCGGTGTCAGTGCAGGAGGGTCTCTGTGTTCTCGTCCCCTGCACCTTCACGTACTCAGCCTCATATGACACTAAGAATTCCCCGGCCTGGCTCTACAGATACTGGTACAAGGATCCAGCCGTTGTGGGCCAGAATCCGCCCGTGGCCAGCAGTGACCCCAGCCGGGGGGTGTCGCAGGAGACCCAGGGCCGGTTCCGGCTGGCGGAGAATCTGGCACACGGCGACTGCTCCCTGCAAATCAGCGACGCCCAACAGATGGATGCAGGGAGATATTTCCTTAGAGTCGAGGGAGACTTTAAATACACTTACTGCTCCAGTACCAATGGCACTGACCTTATGCTCACGATCTCCGTGTCAGGTAAGAGGCCGGATCAGGGTCGTATCCCTAGAGGGGAAAGGCCCCGTGTCCCCGATTGATTCTGTCTCCTCTCCCTGTGTCCAGGGCTGACGGAGGAGCCAGAGATCCAGATCTTGCCAGCGCGGGGGCTGCCAGGGACGCTGCTGGCCGGGGAGCCGGTGACTGTGACCTGCACGGCCCCCGGGCGCTGCTCCGGGCCCCCTCCCCAAGTCACCTGGACGGGGCCGTTCAGCGACACAGCCCGGGACGTCTCAGCCCAGCTGGCGAACGGAACCTGGGCCCAAAGCTTCGCGCTCCACTTCACGCCCACCCTGGGGGACGATGGCAAAGAGCTCATGTGCAGCATCACCTACAGGCCACCACGGGGACCTTCCACCCACAGAACCATCCAGCTCCGCGTCGGATGTGAGTGACCTCCCAGCCCCTCCACGCCGACCTTCAGTCCCCTCTGCTGCAATCCCCACCCCTGGGCTCCCCAACCCTGCCCTCCAGCCCCTCCCCCAACTCAGCCCTGTGCTGGGATCCCCACCCCCCACCATGCACCCTCAGACAGTTCTGCTCCAGGCCCCTTCCCTCCACACCATGCAGCCCCTTCTCTCTTGGGATCTTCACCCCTTCCTGCCCCCCTTGGCTATGGATCCCCCTTCCCTCTGTACCCCCAGGTCCCCAGGCCCTTCTCTTCTGGGATCCTCTCTACCCCCAACCTGCCCTGCCCCCAGAATCCTCCTGGGCTGCGATCCACACCCCCTATTCCAACCCCCCTTCGTGGGATTTCCCGCTCACACCAGCCACCCCAGTTCCCCCTGAGATCCCCCCGAGCTGTCCCACCGCGTCTCCTCCACCCCCTTCCCTTTCTGCCAGGATCGGGGGATGCTCTATATGGGGCAGAGTGTTAATAGGACCCAGTCACTGTCCGGCACTAAACATTCTCCGGGCTCGGTGCCCAGAGACCTCGGCCCGCCCTGCCCCAGGGCAACCCCCCGTTAAATGGCCCGTGACCCTTGCGCTGCACATCCAGGGCAGAGGGAAAATCAGCGGCCGACGTGAAGGATCAAATCAGGCTTCGCTATAAGGATGGCCCTTGTTCCTTCAGCCAGAGGGAGATTTAGCAGGAAACTCTCCCTCCCCCCTCACCCCGTGTCTGAGCCCAGGCCCCAGCCCGATCCTGAACGTCTACACAGACCTCAGAGGAAACGTCTGCACTGCAATCAAAGACCCACGCCCCCCCGAGCCCCGCGAGCCCCACCCAACGGACCCAAGTCCGGCTGCTCCGCGTGTTACTTTTAGCCGCCCCTCTGGGCGCAGCCGAGCTCCAAAATATCCAGGCCTGAACGGCCAAGCCGGGGGCAAAAGGAGAGGGCTGGGGAGAGAGGAACCGAGGTGGGAAGGCAAAGGACCCATGACGGGTTGTCTGATGTCCCTGGTAGTGGCTGGGTCTGGGGAGGGGGTGGGAGTGGGGTTATTTAGACCTCTGGCTCTGGCCCACCCTGGGGAGGACACGTTTGGGGAGCAGGACGCTGAATGCCCAGGCACCCGGCAGACCGTGGGGCTGGTGACAGTCACTCGAGTACCCAGGTCGGAGCAGCCCGGCCCCTCGTTAGTGACTCCACCAATTAGGCCCAATTTTAACCAACCAGTTTTGGTCCCTTGGGTTTCCATTTCTCACGGTTCTGGTTCCCCGGCGCAGCCCTAACCCGGCCACTGGGTTCTGTCGGGCGCCTCTTGGGTGGGGCTCAGTCGGTTCTGTCGCTTTCCTTCCCCGCCCACGGGTCTTGTGTCACTTCAGGGACTTTCCCGTCCCCCAGCTGAGCTCTCAGCGAGGGGCCATGTCTAGGCTCAGTGATCACTAGTGACCCCCCCCCCCCGGTGCTGTCCAGCCCCCCTGATCCCCCCTGTCTGGTTTGTGTTACAGACCCTCCTGGGACCCCCAACATCACCGGGACCCTGACCAGGAACGGACGCCCCGGTGAGAGGCCGCGCTGCGAGCCCCGGGAACCAGCGAGTGCCTCCTAGTCACACTCTGCCCGCGCTCAGGGCCAGGTGCCAGGCTCAGCTGGGCCAGGCTGGTCCGTGCCCGGAGGGGAGAGCCCGAGGAAGCTGCACGGCTGTGGGGAGGGTGGTGCGGGGAGCGGGCCTGCTTCCCTCAGTCTCCAGACCCCCAGACAGAATTAAGGGTGCGCTGGGCATTGGGAAGGAGATGGGTTACGGACTGATCTCTGCAACGGAGACCTGCTGCCATGGAAAGGCACCGAGATTGTGCGCCCACCCCAGAGCTGGCTACGTCCCCACGCTGGGTGAGGGGTCCTTGTATAAACAGCCCCTGCACCCCACCCCAGACCTGGCTGCATCTCAGCTTTTGGAGGGGGGGGGGCTAACCTGCCTGATCGTCTCTTCCAGGGCCAGCCCCATTGGGAGCTGAGGGTGACGTCGTGTCTCTGGAGACCCAGGAGGGCGACTCCCTGAACCTGATCTGTGAGGCTTCGAGCAGACCCGAGGCCATCCTGAGCTGGGCCAAGGGGAACGAATCCCTGAGCCCTGGCCAGGGAGGGGCCGGGCACCTGAAGCTGCCGAATCTCAGCAGAGGAGACGCTGGGGAGTATCGGTGCGGGGCGAAGAATTCCTACGGGTCGGCCAGCCGGGCCCTGCGTATGCATGTGCAGTGTAAGGTGCTAGGGGGCGCTGTGCCACACAGAGGGGCCTTAGTGGCAGGTACTGGGCTGCAGGGGGCAGGTGGTCAGTAGGGGGCGCTGTGCTGCAGGGGGTGGGCTGGGGGTCAGTAGGGGGCGCTAGGCTGCAGGGAGCAAGGCAGGGGGTCAGTAGGGGGCGCTGGTCTGCAGGGGGCGGGCAGGGGATCCATGGGGGGTGCTGGGCTGCAGGGGGGGCGGGGGCTCATTGGGGGGGTGCTGGGCTCCGGAGCAGGGGGTCAGTGGGGGTCACTCTCCAATCTAATACGTTGCCGTGGGTATTTCAGCTCCCATGAGGACTCCGGAAATCACCGTCTCCAGAGCTAACAGGAGTGACCCCCAGCTATTCCAAGGTATCGCTGGGGGCGGGAAGTGGGGCACGGGGCCTTTCCCCTCCAGTGGGTCCTGGCCCCGATCCGGCCCCCAGGCAGGGACTGGCTGGCTCAGAGTGCGAGTGGCTCTGTGTTATTCCTGTTCCCAGATCCCGGCACCGCGGTGGGGAACGGTTCACAGCTCACGGCCCGGGAGGGCGACTCCCTGCGGTTCCTCTGCTCCATCACCAGCAGCCCCCCTGCTGCGCTGCGCTGGGTGAGGGGGGGCCGAGCTGTCGAGGGCGCCCGCCCCGCGGGGGAGAATCAGCTGTGGCTGGAGCTGCCCAACGTGACGGCCGAGGACAGGGGGCTGTACGGCTGCTGGGCCAAGAATGAGGAGAGCTCTGCCCAGGGGACGTTCCAGCTGCTCATCGAGTGTGAGTGGGATTAACCCACGGAACTCCCTGCACCTGGATATTAATGGGATTAACCCACACGACTCCCTGTCACTCGGTGTGAGTGGGGTTAACCTGTGGGACTCCCTGCCTCTGGGTTTCTCTCTCTGACTATTGTCCCTGTGTCTCCTGCTCTCCCCAGACAGCCCCCGGCCGGGGACCGGGCTGAACTCGTCCTGCCAGCACCAGGGGCCCAGCATCAGCTGCAGCTGCTCCCTGCGCTCCCACCCCCCACCCCGGCTCCAGTGGCAGGTGGATGGGGAGCCCCTGGCTGGGAACAGCTCACGGGGGGCCCTGCAGGTCAGCGCATGGGCCCAGGGGGATGAGGCCGTCAGCACCCTGAACTGGACGGGGAGCGGGGACAGGGGCCCCCAGATCTTCTGCCTCGGCTCCAACCCCCATGGGACCTACGCCGCCCTGCACTTTGACTTCAGTCCCCCATGGAGAGGTGAGACACTTGGACTCCTGGGTTCTGTCCCCAGTTCTGGGAGAGGAGTGGGGTCTGGAGGGGGTGGCGGGGGCTGGGAGCCAGGACTCCTGGGTTCTCTCCGAGCCGTGCCCCTGTGCTGTGTGTTTTCGCAGGTGCGGAGGAGCCTGCCAAGCTGCTGGGCGTCGGGGTGGCCTGTGGGCTGGGGGTCGCCGTCGGCTTCTTCCTTCTCGGGCTCTGTGTGATCAAGTGAGTCTGACGCCTCCCGCCCTGATCCCCAGCTGCCCCCACCCCCGAGATCCCGCTGAGATCCCCTGCCCTCTCCCCTGGGCTTTTCCTGCCCCCCCAGCCCCCTCCCCCAAGCCGCTCTCTCTGGCCTATCCCAGTCCCCTGCACTCTACCCTCCCATACTGGTGTTCCTCCCTTTCTCCCTCCCCACGGGGCTATTCTACCCCCCTCCCGTGTGTCATGCGTCTGTCCTGATCTGTTTCCCTGCAGGCTGTGTGGCCAGGAGCCGGCGCCCCCCAGCACTGAGGCCGGGGAGATGGCTAACGGGAGCCAGGCCAAGCACCTGGCCGATGAGGCCAGCGTGATCTACAGTAACATCCCCACCATGGCCATGGTATGTACCTGGGGGGAGCCGGGGACCAAGCCCACCTGCCCTTCCCACCCCACCTCGTCTCTTCCCCCCCCACTTCTTCTCCTTCCCACCCCCTTAACGAAAGCATGAATATAAGCCAGGCTTTCACCAGGGCACCCGACCCCCCCACGCAGTGTAAGAAATACACCCCTGCCACCAGCCTGGGCTCCCCAAACTGCGTGGGAACAGCTCCTGCATGCAGAAAATGCACCTCATCCCTCGGGTCTCTCTCAGAGGGGAGGACATGCAGCGAATGCATTCACGTGCATTCACAAAGTGCACGGACTAGATTGGGGCTGCAATGCTGCCAATCCCTGGGTATCTCCCGAATGCACCAGCTGGGCAAAAATGCATTTCTGCAGCTGCCTGCTATGGTATTAGGGACATATGCTCAGACAATGCATGCAGGGTGCACCGTGTCTGTTGCGAATATATGCACCCTGCAGAAAATGCAATGAATGCACCAGCATAGTCCAGGGATCGGCAACCTTTGGCACGCGGCTCTCCAGGGTAAGCACCCTGGCCGGCCGGGCCGGTTTGTTTACCTGCCGCGTCCGCAGGTTCGGCGATCGCAGCTCCCACTGGCCGCGGTTCGCTGCTCCAGGCCAATGGGGGCAGCGGGAAGCGGCGTCCAGCACATCCCTCGGCCCGCACCACTTCCCGCAGCCCCCATTGGCCTGGAGCGGCGAACCATGGCCAGTGGGAGCCGTGATCAGCTGAACTTGCAGACACGGCAGGTAAATGAACTGGCCCGGCCCGCCAGGGTACTTACACTGGCAAGCCGCGTGCGAAAGGTTGCCGATCCCTGGCATAGTCTATGCAACCACAAGATGCATGGGATCAAATCATGCATGCACAGAGCATAAAATGCACACAGCCCCATGCATCTTGCTAATGCATGGCTGGTGCAGGCAATGCAGAGAATGCATTAATTTAACCGGTGCTGCCCCAAGCTGCATGGGAGCAGTTCACGCATGCTCGGTGCATGAAATCCAGTCAATACATTCGCTGAACCTGTTCTGTGATGAGATGCATGAGATTAAATCCTGCATGCGTGGTGCATGAAATGCACACACCCCCATGCATCTTGCTAATGCGTGGCCTGTACAGCTGAGGCAGTGAATGCATTAGCCGAGCTGGTGCTGGTGTGGGATTGGTTCATGCGTGCAGCGAGTGTGAAACACACCCAAACCAACGCCTCTTGCTAGTACACGCCCGATGCAGGAAATGCATTTGCATGGCGGGTGGGGGAAACGAGGCCTGGGGCAGCCCATGCAATCACAGCTGGGGGCATTCAAATCTCTGCCTGGTGTCTCTGCCTTGCTTCTCACTCAGCATCACAAGACTCCAGCCACCCACCGGACCAAAGGCATCCAGGACGGCGCTGCAGCAGCCCAGGCCCCGCTAGGCCCCGGGGAGCCGGAGGAGCTGCACTACGCCTCCGTCGACTTCTCCAAGCTGAGGCGCAAAGGGGGGGAGCCTCCAGAGGCCCCGGACACGGAATATTCCGAGGTCCGGTGGAAATAGCCCCTTAGCGCCATGGGCCCAGGCTGGGCATCTCCGCCTCCTGGGACCACACCTCTGAGCTGGCCTGTCTCTGCCGTGGGCCCCCTCAGGGAGTCCCCTCACTCTGGATCCCCGGGGCCTCCACCCCCCGAGGGAGCAATGCCCCCCGATCTCTACCCTGCCATGACTCTCTGCCAGCGTCACACAGGTTTATTGAACGTCTGAACCCAGTACAGGAGGCTCTCAGGGCCCTCGGGCCTGGCCTCCCTCAGCACGGGACATCTGGGTCTCTCTTGCATCCAGGTGGGCTCTGACTGCTCTCCCCCCAGCCCAGAAGCCCCCTCCTTCCACCTGAGCATCCGATATCACTGGCCCCAACGCTCCTCCCCTGTCCTTTGTGTCCTTTGTCCTCCATCCCAGGTAAACAGGTCACCGGGGTCCTCTCTGCTCAGCCCATTGTCCTCCGCTGCCCAGAACTGGCTGCCTTTCAAGCTGGGGCGGGGGGTTCTGGTCACCAGGTCACCAGTTGTTCAGGTTCCCCATCTCCAGGCCGTTGTGCGGGGTCTCGGCTGCCAGGCGAGGTCACACCTGGCCCTCTCCAACAACAAACCCTCTCCTTCCACCTCATTACACACGCAGCACACAGGGAAACTGAGGCACATACGCACCTTTCTGGCCTTGGCATCTAGCAATGCCACTTCTCCCTGCATAATCTTCCCTCCCCGGCCGGTTGTGGGTGATACATCCACCAGGCCCGGAAATAAGGCAAAACTGCTTTATTTCTTTGGCCGTTTATTTCGGAGCAACTTTCCCGACTGTGCTGGGACCGGGTGCCCCGGGCCACAGAGATTCCACTCACTCCAGCTGGAGGTAGGTGAGCAAGGAGCTGGGGGGGGCTGATTGTGGTTTGGGGGTGTGGCATGACAACGACCTGGGAAAGAGGCAGTGGGTTGCAGGGGGAGGGTACCTAGGGGAAATGAAGAGACTAGAAAACAAACAGACACAATCCGATGAGTGTGTAACGCATGGAGAAATTAGACCCAACAATCTAGTGCAGTCAGATACACAATCTGATGAGGATAAAATGCAAGGGAAAATTAGACACAACAATCCCTTTTAAAACTGCAGAATGGTTGTCATTGTGGTGCTGGGGGGTGTTGATCATTCCCAGGAAGCTTGTCTTTGATCTGGGAACAAACACAGAACCTCGCTGAAGCTAAGGGGTGTTAGCAGCCTTCCGTGCAGCCTAAATGAGGCAGCAATTAAATACCCCTTTTCTTAGTGGTAAATGAAACAGGGGCATTGATTGGACTGTAGCTATGTGCGTCTGAAGTAGAAAGCTGCCCCAAAAAAGGCTACAGCAAGCCAGAGGAGCCCTGAGAAGAAGCCAAGGGAAATCTTTTTGGGCAGGGTACTGTCTGCAAGCAGGCTTGGATGTAGGAGCAGGATTTTATAATTGTACTATGAGAATTACTGTATAATTTGATTTTATCCTGCCCGCCGCCCTTTTTGAATAGCAGAAAGGAATGATACTCTCGGACTATGGGATTCCGTTTCCCATATGCATTACAAATTGGGCCCTTTTTAGTTCTTTGTTTTAAGGTTTAGTTAGTAAGAGACGGGATCCTGTATTGTGTCTATGTTAATGTAAGCAGAGTCAGGATGAGCTCTACCCTGACATCTGGTGGTGAA